AAGGGAATTAAGTAAACAATAGCCTACAAAAAAAAAAAAATTCCGCCATTTTAAAATCTATGAAAGAACAATATATGTTTTATATCTTCATATTACAAAGGTCTAAATGTTTGATAAGATTCTTGCTGGATTCAAAAGTACAAATTTGATAAACATTAGCCAAATCCTCGTTGAGAACAAGCCAAAGTCTGAGGTACTTGACTTGTTTGAGGGTCTAAACAAAGCTTATCTGTAAATGAGTGAAGCTACAACCTTTTTAGTTTATCTTGGGTCTAAATAAATAGTTGTATACTAGCAACGTTTACGTTTCAATTTGTTTAGTTTTGCCTTTATATTTAAATTTTGTAATTACATACAGTATTTTCTGAAAATATAAGTGTAATAAGGAAATGCACATTTTAAGCTTTTAAGTTGCTATTTTCTAGAAGTAAATAAAACATTAGTAGGTAATTTATATCTATAAAAAGGAAGTTTGTATGTATGTATGTATGTATGCATGCATGTATGTATGTATATACTATATGGACTCCGAAACCGCACGACATATTGTAATAAAAATAGTAAATAACATATGCTAAACGCTAGCAGATTGCTTGTAAATTTACATTTCATTATTTCAATAAACGCTCTGAATCCCAGTGATCTTCCATTTCAGCGGTCTCTAAACTTCCCGAGTACGTATGTCAAGGGGAAAAGAGTAACTGATAAAATTGCAACTTTAATAAATATTTCGAATTATGACACTGTAGAATACACGTCGAATAAGATATTCAGAATTTCCAGGAAGAAATTACCAAGGAAATTCGATTCAAGAGGGATTTGATTCGTTTCCACTAAAGAGCCAATCTTACAGGCCGCCAATTGATCGATTACCCTTTCTTTGATTCTATGTTGTTCATCGTTGACCTTTTTTTAAAAGAACACCCCCTCCGCATCGATTTTACAGACTAAGCGTATTTCAATTTACCTGGTTAGACTTTTACTAAAATATTTCCTTACAATTAATTGTCCCTTGTAACTGATCCCACATTAATAAAAAAAAAAACACTTATTTTATTGATTAGAGTAACTCGGGGCAAGAGTGCGCATGGGGCAAGAGTACGCAGAGCGGAAATTTTTACTTTGCGCTTGAGCTAGTTGGTACCACCATAGATTAAAAGAAGTCCACTCCTTTTATCTATGGTACCACTAAGTCTCATCCGAAGCAAGACAGTACCCTCGCCATTCCTCCGTAGTTTGATGGTCCCTCTCTTTTTGATCTAATGTTTAAGTACTAGAGAATCCGTGCGGCTCAATGAGCCGCATAGTATGAAACAAAACGCCGAGGAAAACGTTAGGCTTAAATTCGAGTAATTATAGATTCATCTTAGACTTAAACACTTGTTAGAAACTAATCTTAAATATCTCTATTTGCGTCGTCAAGGTTCACCTACATTTTTTCTGCTCTCAGCTTTAACTGATAAATTCTAATGAATGTTAAATGATCGGCTTCAATTCGAGTTAAAATGTTGCAACAAAGTTTTTCCACTATTGAGAGTTGAAGAAAATTGTTGCCTTACTGATAACCTGTGTTAAGTAATTTAAGTTGGGTCATTTTATTTCTTTGATTTCAGACATCCACCCAATCAAACGAATTTTCTCCGGAGAGAATCCTGAATACTGGGGTGATATCAACCATTTAATGTGCTCAATTTTTTACCCACAAACTCTGGGTTACCAACTGGACAGCAATAATCTGCTTTGAATAGGCTAAAGCAGCAACACTATTGGAAGTTGGTTAACGTATTTTAACGTGTTGTCTGTCAGTCACAGTAGATATATGCCCCGCATCAGAGCGTTCTCACGTTGTTCAGTGGAGTTTCTCTAAATACCAGTCCCAAAGTTTTGAAAGTATGGATTAATTTAGGTCCATAAAGTTGGCCCCCCCCATTTAAGCACTAACGTCAAAAATGGTACCAATCGTTAGTGCTACGTTAGTGCTGGTTAGTGCTGAAATCCCCAACGTTAGTGCTCTTTTGGTTCAAGTGTTATTATTAAAAAACTGTGGGTGGGGCCAACTTTATATAAAGTTAGCCCCCCCCAGTACAAATAATTAAGCACTAACGTCAAAAATGGTACCAATCGTTAGTGCTACGTTAGTGCTGGTTAGTGCTGAAATCCCCAACGTTAGTGCTCTTTTGATTCAAGCGTTATTATTAAAAAACGGTGGGTGGGGCCAACTTTATATAATAGTTAGCCCCCCCCCAGTACAAATAATTGAGCACTAACGTCAAAAATGGTACCAATCGTTAGTGCTACGTTAGTGCTGAAATCACCAACGTTAGTGCTCTTTTGGTTCAAGTGTTATTATAAAAAAACTGTGGGTGGTGCCAACTTTATATAAAGTTAGCCCCCCAGTACAAAAAATCGAGCACTAACGTCAAAAATGGTACAAATCGTTAGTGCTACGTTAGTGCCGGTTAGTGCTGAAATCACTAACGTTAGTGCTCTTTTGGTTCAAGTGTTATTATAAAAAAACTGTGGGTGGTGCCAACTTTATATAAAGTTGGTACCACCCACCGTTTTTTAATAATAACGCTTGAATCAAAAGAGCACTAACGTTGGGGATTTCAGCACTAACCAGCACTAACGTAGCACTAACGATTGGTACCATTTTTGACGTTAGTGCTCAATTATTTGTACTGGGGGGGGGGGCTAACTTTATATAAAGTTGGCCCCACCCACAGTTTTTTAATAATAACGCTTGAATCAAAAGAGCACTAACGTTGGGGATTTCAGCACTAACCAGCACTAACGTAGCACTAACGATTGGTACCATTTTTGACGATAGTGCTTAAATGGGGGGGGGGCCAACTTTATAGACCTGATTAATTTGTCGAAATAGGTTGGATAACTCTTGTAGCTATAAGATTTGGATAGCAAATTTCATTTACACTTTTTGAACAGCGTATATTATTTGCCTCTCCTGAATCATAAATAAACTTAACCGTAACTACTCGATCTTTGAATACATAAACACTAATTCCTTCACTTATGTTTGGTTTAATATTGCCACTAAAACTTTCAATAGAAAATGAGTTTTTAAAACTTCTTATTTTTTACTTGAAATGTCTGAATTGTTTTAGCGAATTCAGTCAAAAAACTTTGTATAAAGTTGTCCGAGGAACTGGCAACATAACCTAGAAATAGACTATCTATATGCGTTTTTCTCAATTGAAGTAGAGCGAGTAATACAAAAGTTTACAATAAAAACATAAGGTCTGCCAAGATTTGGTATGATCTTACTACTTGAACTTATCATAGTCAAGGCATTTTTATACTTTGTAATAATTTTTTTTTAATATTTCGATCCGTCAGTGTCAGAAGTAAACATTTCTTGCATGCATTCATTTAATCTTCAATTAGGCAAGTTTACTCTACCACCGTAACAACACTATGTGCGTTGTATTTTTTCACTTCCAAAGTAAGTTGCATAGCAGAACTGGCAAATATTAATCATCTCCTGGATGGGTATCTGATAGACCAGGCCTCTCTTTTTCTACTGTCCTCATACACATAAGATATCTTATTTTTATTTGTCTCCTCCTCCCGTTTTCAACATTTCTTCTTTGAACTTATTTGAGAAATTTTCTCAGTTTTTTCAACAAAACTGATTAAGTGTTTAACTTTTTCTTAACCTACTGAATATTACAAACATTAGTATTTACTCCCAAAAAGCTAATGAGTTTCTTTTATAAACAGCTGTATTTGTTTTAAAATTTGTTCTATGTATTTCTTATGGGGAAAACCCGACCTTTGAGAGGATCTCACGCCCTTAAGAGTAGGAATTTTAAAATGCTAAAACCTTATTGCAAAATTACATATTGAGACGAATCTGTTGACCCCTTAAACGTTGAAATTGGTCCACAAATAAGTGAGGAGTTGCGTTAACAAAAAACGGCTTCACGTATTATATATATATATATATATATATATATATATATATATATATATATATAGATAGATAGATTTGGGAATTAGAATACGATAGTTTCAATCCTATATAGTTTATAATGTTCTACTTATAGCCATGTTAGTTTAGTTCCATTAATGGCCACATCAAGCACCAGCTCATTACATGTAAACACTATGAATGTCAGGTACGAGTTCGCATTGCCGTTGCGGCAAGAGTTCGCATGCCCAAAACATTTTATTTCAGTGTTCACACCTCGTTGAATCCAAAGGCAAAAAAAAAAAAATTAATCACCCAAGGACATCAAGTACCAAAATTATCTGTCAGAGGAACCACCAGGGGAGGACTGGATTCAATGCACCTCATGGAGTACATGACGCTTGTTGAAATTATGAGGATGGGAGCAAATTCACTTGTGATTACTGATACAAAGAACTAATTTTCACTAAGAACGTGCTAAGCTCAACTTTTTATGTAGCATTTAAGTAGATGAGTGTTTGTACTAATAAAATTGGTTTCAGTAGGTCTTGTGTGCTTTTTTAAACAATGTGCTTCCTTTTGCCCCATTACGTGCGTACTCTTGCCCCCCCCCCCCACCACGGTGACAAGAGTTCGTAAATGTAACTTTTCGTATCATTATTATTTGTTTAAATGATACAATAATGATAACAAAAAAAATGTATTTTGGTTATCAACTAACATACAATTGTTTACTATTAGTATTGTTTCAATTGTTAATCATTTGACCTATTGTTTGGGGGGTTTAACATTAAGTGCGCACTCTTGCCACAAGCTCATATACTTAGGTTTTGTACTAGAGGGAGGGTAATAAAGTGTTTAATTTGATTTAAATTTTAATAGCTTAGTATGAAATAAACAAATTTAGCAGATTCAATCAAACTATACCTAAAAAAACCACAACAGTTTCTTCATTCTCAAATAAGAAAGTTAATTATATCCACAGTTTTTTAGGAAAACCCATTCCTAAACATTGTTTGAAATTAACTAGTTCTAAAAAAACACAGTTAATAAAATCGATATACAGGGATTAAAACGGTTCTTTTAACAGTTCTTTTCGGGCCTCAAGGATGTTAAATAGATCGTTTATTATGATCTACAAAAATATAAAATATATACAACAAAGCTATCAGTAAATTATTCCTTAACCAAACTCTTCAAAGAAAAAACACTGCAAGGTATTCCAGGAGATTAAAAGCTTTTATCATTATAGTTGCTTTTTGATAGGTTACGCTGTTGCTTCTTAACATTCGCTTTTGATTTGTTGGCAAGTCGAACGATTCGTTGAGGAATGGGAACAGGCTGTATAGTATAATTCAGATCACTACTCATATTGAAATTACGACAGTTTTCTTCGTGTGGCGTACGTTTCAGCTTGCCTTTTTCTTCCACAAGAGAGTTTAGGTTTAGACCTATTGTGACTGGATTTATGGTGTAACTGTTTGCGTTGCTCAGATTAAATGTTTCACAGTATTTGTCCAATGTCCGCATCAGTTCCTCACTTAAGGTTTGAGTAAACAGTTTAGGAGTTGTCATCGAAGTGTTCTCAGTGGACACTGTTGTGGCCTCTGTCGTGTCATTCATTATTGTTGAATTCAATGTGAGAATTTCCACCATTACCTCCATAGTCGTTGTGGTTACCTCGTTAGGAATCGTAACGTTGGATTCAGTAGTTGCAGTAACTTCTGGAACAGTTGTGTTCATTTCTGTACTAACAGTCGTCGCTTCTGTGACGTTTGGTGTAGTTTTCGGAGATTCCGAAGTTGTTTCCTCACTCGAGGTAGGCTCTACACTAATAGTTCTCACTTCAACCGTTTTCATCTCCTGGTTGGCCTGTAATACTCTCGGGGATGGCAAAGCTTTCATCTCCAAAGGTTCTTCACTGACAGCCTCGAATTTTCTTATAGTGTCGTTGCAAGATCCGTTTCCAGGAACTAACATGAAGTAATTTTGCACCGTAACGTTATTGTTGTACAGTAAATTTATGGGACCATTGCAATACTTTGAAATCGGGTTGGTCATGTTGAGACATCCCAAGTCGTTGGGTAGCGGAAGATTACGCATTCCTGTAGCTTCGTCTGAACGTTTCAACGGTTGAGAGTGATGCAGATTCGTCCACTCTCTGGATTGATCTTTGATCACGTTTATGTATGGTTCTCTGTCTATTGGCCATCTTGACTCTTTAATCTCCTCATCTCTTCCAACTTTGTCTTGAAAGGCAAAATTCCCGTTTTCCTAGAAAAGTATGAACAAAATAAATAACTTAAGTTAAAAATTATTAAAATAAGCATAACCAGACAGTAAATGCGTTTGGTGGAAAGTATATCCACACTGCATCCATAGCACTAGGCAAAAGCATTAAGTATATGTGTAAAATAATTTACTAACGTTACGAAGTTTTTTTAGTAACTTTATCTTAACTTTAAATTCTATATTCCTTTATGCCTGATGATTGCCACCAATGATTTGATCATATTCTGCTATACATTTAGTATTGGAATCGTCACACCTTAAACGCTCTGAAAACATAACCTGATAAATGAAAGGATGATTATTTTTGTGATCCTGTATTGCTAGAAATCGGGAAAATTGCAGAAGAGAATAGGTGCCTTAAATGGTTTATCATCAAATAAACATTACTTTGAATGTTTACTTGTAGGAATGTATGATTTTTCTGCTGCATTATTAGATAGTTGGTCGATTTTAATATTAAAAAATGACGTAGCTACTTAAACAAATTAATGTAGGTAAGAATTAAATTTTAAGAGGAAATGAGTAGGTTTTTCAAGTTAATTTAAATTTAAAAAGTGACTATAAAATGTTAGGGTTAAAATGATACCTGTCTCCATGAGTGTATTATACAGGGTGTCCCGGAACTCTCTACCAATATGTTAGGGCATTGCTCCTGGGTAAGAAACATACCGAAATATCATATTTAAATTGTCCGAAAATCCTTAGTTACTCACACAGCCGCCATTTTGTTTTTTTCAGTTATTAATTTTTTTCTAAAGAATGGTTAAACATACGAAATGGAAACTTTGCACAAACTTTTATGACAACTAGACAAAGCTACCAAAAAATTATGACGGTTTTTCAAATTCATTAAACAAAATGGCGGCCGTTAACAATTTTGTTTCTTAAATAACTCGAAACCCGTTGATTTGACAAAAGTTTTAAACGGCCGCCATTTTGTTTAATGAATTTGAAAAATCCTCATAATATTGGTAGCTTTGTCTAGTTGTCATACAAGTTTGTGAAAAGTTTCCATTTCGTATAATTAACCATTCTTTAGAAAAAAATTAATAACTGAAAAAAACAAAATGGTGGCTGTGCGAGTAACTAAGGACTTCCGGACAATTTAAATATGATATTTATTTATGTTTCTTACCAAGGAGCAATGCCCTAAAATATTGGTAGAGAGTTCCGGGACACCCTGTATTAGAGTGCATTTTATACAATATACATATATATTAGATGTTGATAATTAGGATGAATTACTAAAAAAATGTCATGAATTTTCGTATCTTTTCAATATAAAAAACTCCACATCAATAATACTAATAAAGTAAACTTACTTATACAATAGAAATGTAAATGCGCTTTAAAATCTAGCGAATTAATACTTATTTACTTTTATTTGATAAGTACAAAAACAAACAAATTCTGCAACGTATAGGAACATCAATTAATTTCCTTTCTTATCTTATATACATTTATATAATAAACTTACAATGCTTCCATAATGATTTATTGGCCTGCACACTACTTGTCGGATTCCAACAAAATACTGAAAGACGAAATATAACAGTGCGATCAATTTAATTTTAGTTTTAAACATGGCGAATAAATTTGTTTTCATTTTGAGTAAAATTTTAGTTTCCATGGGTACACTTTGTTTCTTGAGTGAAAAAATAAGCTCACGGTTTTTTACACGTTTACAAGAATTGAGTCACATGGGAATTTCCCCAAGATTTTATGTATCAGCTCAATGTCGATCATGATTGCACGACTCGATTGATCCAACCCATCGTAAATCCTGATTCATCAAATGAATTTAAGTTTAGTTTAATACGTGCGTTAACTATAGGCTTCCGGAATAGCAGTAAATCTACCATGAAAACAGCTCAAGTATGGCGTGCACAAAACAATTCTTTTGCCTTTATTTTACAAAGCATAAATTCAAAATTCACTCAGTTCACTCAGTTATAACATTTAATCAGAAGAAATAACTTTAAAATCAATTTCAATTTTAGGTGGTCTGACTCTTGTCTTTAAATGCGTTGGAAGTTTGTTACCGACAGTGAGATTGCAAGGAGTTCTTAAAATGTCTTAATGGTTATTGGCTATATTGAACTTGCTGATGTTTTGTTTTAGAAAAGACAAAGTCTTGGGAGTATAATAGGAAGGAGTATCTGACAACTGTTTGGCGTTTGAAAAACCAATTTATTGATCCTGTCGTCTTTTAAAGAGGGTATAGCTTGCAAACAGAATAGAAGGACCACTTATTTTCCCATCCCTATAATGGGCAAGGCATAGGCATGACGTGTAATTAAGACTGTAATAGTTGAAAAGTATAACAACAGATTTCGTTGAATTTGCAAGGTGCGGATGGAAAATATTCCTGAAATATGATTTTTTATTACGTGGCCAATATCGTAGGATTTTAACTTGTCAAAACAATCCAATTCGTTTTGTGGAACTGATTGAGAGGACTGATACTCATAGATAAAAGACTTGGGGGAATCAATCAGAGATGTGAGCTGTTTTTAGAGGAATTGGAAGAAAGCAGGTTCCTGTCAAACCCCTGTTCTAAGCTGTTAATTCCCTTCTAGCCTCTGCAAATGTTAATTGTTCTATCTAGAGACTCCAAACAGTAGGTCTAATCAACGAGAAGAACGTGTCCGATTCGATTTCCAAATGGGGATCGTTGGCAAAAATAAAGTAGGGCCAAGAATGGAACCCTTAGGGACACCGCACGATTTACGTCTTTCGAATGAGTTGTATTGACACAGAAATAAACTTAATATATTACTATTAAATTTGGTTTGGTATAGGTAATGTAGGTGTTTTTATTAGGTTTACCTATCTTATTTATGTAATACGCAAAGTCGTCTTATAATTACACAATTATGAAATAAGCTTAGATTTAATTATGCTTTTGAGTGACATTCTTCAGGTGTTTTATTATTATATTTATCTAATTTTGAAATTTGTTCTGGGAGATACGGATAGTCGGCAGTAACTATTTGCTCATCCAACAGATAGGGGTATATTATGAGTGCTAAAAAGATTACGTAGTCTGTTAATAATACATATAAACCTCTAGTAGTCTGTTATACTTTTATAGTAATTTTTATTAATTTTATAAGATAATTGTTTGGCTTTGAGTTCGGAAAATCATTAATGAAAATAAAGCATATGGTTACCTCGTAGGCCATTTTCCTTTTAATTCAACTTATAAACCCCAATAATCTTTTAACCAAATTATGTTACGGAAAAGTAGTTAAAAGATATATGTTTATTTAAGCATCATCCTTATGATAATTGGTAATATTTAAATGAAAATTGCACTCAGAAGGTTGTTAGTAAAATAACATTTAACGGTCAAAACAAGAACTGTAACAAACGGTAGGTAACGTCCCTATAACAGTGTGTTTCTACTTTGCCCCTAATTGAGTTTCTTGTTAAACGGCTTAACACACTATGAACTGGACTACTGGTGTATTGAAGTTAAAGAATGAAAATGTATGACAAGGCTTGGATAAGAAAATCTTTAAACATGAATAACGATCTCTGCAAAACGCAATCTTAAAAAATATTTGAAGAACTACTTTGATTTTGTAACTTATCATAAAGCTCAAACCTTTAATGTAATGAAATATAAATAAGTGAATATTGGTTTAGCTGCATATTTTTACCTAATAGTGTTTTCACATATCATATAGAAAATGACCTTAAATATAAACTTAAAAAATTTAGATTTTTTGTAACTAATGGAAAATATATGTTTCATTCAATACATAGCACATTATAACCTTTAGAGTATAAAACACAATAAATAGCTAATTTAATTATTAAATCAATAAAATGCTAAAGCTAAATTAATTAAAGGGACTTTTTAATATACTTCAGATTAAAAGTATAAATATGAATAGCTTGAAAATCTAATACAGAGTAATGAATAGGTATCCAAATTAAACTATTGTGAATAATACAACCCGCAGTCTAAGGCTTAAAAAAAAAAAAAAAAAATCTGAAAGAGAATAATAACCTTGTAAAAGGCTAAAGGTTGATTGGTCACTATAAAAACACAAGCATAAAACACATTTCATAAAGGAACCTCAGTTATCAGTTATCAGTAATCTCTCTCTATGTGTATCAGTTTGTGATTGAAGTAAATCCACTAAATAAGTCCGTCCAGTTCGCAAAGGCTTAAAGGTGGGTTGTAATTAATTCTCCTTTTCATTCTTTAATTTATTATTTTAATTGAAACAACCAATTAATTGTTGTAACATTGAATTTAGCCAACAAGCCCCGTTCTACCAAGGAAAGCTTTGATTGTTAAAAATAAATTTGTGTTTGGGTCCCTTCGTACGTATTTGTATTACATTTTAAATAATGTATTTAAATCAGCCTATTTCTTCGGGGCGATGGCTACGTCGAAATGTTAACAAAGTAAATGTTTCTGAGTCCAAAATCTATTTAGAAGACCCACAATGCATTTTTAACATTTAAACTCTCACTTTTGTATTGCTGTTTAAGTTATTTTTATAATTCAGGGTACAAATTACACATTACTTAAGGTTATATTACTTTAAGTATAGAAAATGAGCGGTTTTCATCATATGAAATGAATTTTAATGTTAGGTTAATCATCGGTTACTTTAGAAAGAATGTCGCAAATGGGTTGTTAATTATTACTTCAGAAAAACTGTCGCAAATATAACCTTTTTGGTAGGTGCAATGATTATAAGCTAACTTGATATGATATTTGGATAGTTCAAAATAGTTACAAAACGTTTTTATACTAAACTACAAATTTACAGCTACGTTGAAATAAAGTTTTTAAATTACCTACCGTTAAAGTACATTTAATAAATTGACAGTCGAATTGGACTATAAAAAATTAATAGGTCCACAGTGTGGGTTCGGAATGGTTGTATCAGGTAAAATAGCAACAAGGTTTAGCGTACGTCTTGTATACAAGACCATACGATATAGCCAAGAACTTCTTGGTTTAAGCGGATCTGGGGATAAGGGACCACTTTAGGTTTCCATTGTTTGTTTACGAGATTTTGTGGAAAGCATAATATATTCGACTTTTCTTAGTCTGGTTTTTGTTACATTCAGAAAAATTAAGATCTTGTCGATCAATTAAATTTTTAAATAAATAAACTACTATTTACTTTTTACAGGGGTGTTTGGCTCCCACTGAAATAAGCAGACGTTGAAACTATTAGAATTCATGAACAACAATTGAATTATCAATTGAAAAATTGAATTACACGAAGTTTGTCGGTTGAACTCCTCCGCCATTTCTTAACCGATTTTATCCATTGACGTGTCATTGGAAAGAGCGTGTCGCGTAGATTTGCAAACTGACTTTACATTTTTGAAAAAGTCCCTTGGGCTCTGCTCCAGGGGCTATGAAAGTTCCCATTTTATCCTTATGAAGAACATAATGTTTACATTTTGATCAGCTGTATAATTTAATTGCTGTTATTTATTTTTCAATTCAACAAAACGCATTGGGTACATTCACTAATTTTGTTGAAATTAAATATGTACTACTTTAATTTATAATGTAAAAAATCTAGAAAGCCTGGGCAATTTAAAATATATTCTACCTCTTATATAATGAAGAACACCTACAATATGAAGATTCCCTCAAACAATGAACCAGGATGTTAGCCGAGGTGTTATTATTTTGTAGGAAACACGGACTTAACTTTATGATGAAAAATATTTACAAGAAATTTTGATTATATGGAACATACCTTACCGTAATCTATGATTTGAGACTTTTAAACTCATCGGAAATTATGACTTTTATTCGTTTTTAAATAAGTTGTTTGTTTTAAAATAACTACTTTACTTCTTTGCAATTCCTCGATTTCGAGCAACATGTACACTAGTTACAATTAGTATGGTAAATTACTTTTAGTAATTACTTGAATGTATAAACTGCAAACAAAATCTCTTAGCATTTTAATTTTCCAAAACACTATTTCTTTCTATATTTTAAATTAAATTGAAATTTGCTTGCACAAGAAACAATTTCAAAAGGATAATCACCGGATTGAGTCCACTCCATAATTTAATTTAAATTTTTACTTCAATTTTACAAGTATAAAAGAACTATCAGTTGAAATTACTCCTTTGATAAATTACTTTGAGTATCATTCTCAAAGGTACACACTTGAAATAGTTGCCAAATTCTCCTCGATAACAAGCCAAAGTGTTAAGTACTTGACTTGTTTAAGGGTACTCAAAGCTTTACTGTGGTTTGACAACAATGCTAATCCGTAAATGAAGTAGCTTAACAATAATTTAGTTACATTTACTTCTTTTTGAATTTTAAATCATACCTGTTTACCAATCATTATCAAAAGGCTTGGACAAAAGTAGTATATAATTTTAACAGAAATAATCAGCGCCCCTCCAAATATCATCTCGATTAACTGAAATCAACAGTTACTAAAACTAAACTATCAATCGTCATAAATACAAATGTTTGTCAAATAAATTACAACTGTGTCATAAAACTTTTTTATGATAATGAACAAAGCTAACTTAACGTAGTACACAGTTAGGTGGAACGAAAATCTCACTTTGGATTTTATAAAACTATTTAAA